GAATTCAAAACATCACTTGTTCGTTACACGCCATGCCGTTTCGACGCCTAATGTAATGTCGTTCTTTATCGAGAATGATAATTGTACTCGTTACGCGTAATGAATTGGATCGATTGGATGAATTGAACTATGAATTGATGCCTAACGTTAATGGGCCATTTCGTTTGTAATTTTTATTTTTTTTTTTTTTACTTAATTTGTTTCATCGTTCCCCTCCTTCGATTGGAATTAATAATACTTTTAAAAATTTTGAAAAAACTACCCAAATTTCAAGAGAATCAATAAGAGGTTAAAATTTTTATCTTTGAATCTTACTCTCAACAATTATCAAATTGTATCTTGTCGTTGCCAATATTTTGTTAATTCTACTTAATTATTTCACCTAATTTTAATATTCGTTCAATACACTCCAATCTTTCTAACTGAAAGAAACCAACAAAATTCAATATAATATAAGTAAATCTACAACAATCTACAATAGTAAGCAAGAAATCTACAATTCCTAAACACGTAGCCAATCAAATTTTCCCATTTTTTTTACAAACAGACAAGAACTACGTTTAACAAGAACTAAAATTTAATATACGTTAATACGTTATAATACGTTATAATACGTTAAAATTTCGTTAACGTGAGATGCGATTTTTAAAAAAATTATCGGAGAGGATTGACAAGGGAAGAGGTAACGAGTTATGGGCCGTCAGAACGGAAAAGAGAGGCTTAATAAATCTGCACCGAGAGAGATCCGATCGCGCCGAATACATTTCGCGTTCTTTGATGCTCACCGGGTATACCATGGATCGACCGTGTCCACCCAAGGATTTATACCCGCGACGAGATACGGACGTGGTATTTTATCCGTTTTATTTTATTCTTTTTTCACTTCTTTATTCTTTTATTTTTTATTTTCCCCGAGGAACCACCGCTTCGAATAAATTTTTATTCGTTCAAGTCGCCGGCTTCGATAAGGCTGCGCGTGAAAATATGGCGAGTCCTTCGATTCCCTTTCGGTCGATGGCTTTCTTGCGTCTTTTTTTTTTTTTTTTTTTTTTTGGCTACATTAAAATGCGAAAGAGGGAAAGGAACGAAAGACGTAATTAAGATGCAAAAGGGGGGAGAGAGGAGGAAACGTTCGTGATAATTTTGGGAATTGTAGATTGTTTCGTGACTTCACTTACTTACTCGTCGAGATCTCTTGTCGAGAGTTAAGAATTACTTGGTAAGGAATAAAGGTAAAGAAATAGAGTTATTTCGGACGATGAAAGAAGAGGAAGTGTTAGTCGTATATTGGAGACTCGTCAAAGTGTTATTTCCTCTACAGTGAATTCATCGAGATGAAACGAGAGAAAGATACGTGTTTCGTAGTACGAACGAACGAAAAGAAAAGAGAATATATTATAGATATTCACATTGAACAATGTACTGTTGCACGCTCGCAAGTTAAAATTATGCATCAAGTTCTCGTGCAACCACGACCCCTCCCCTATTTCACCCGATAATAAATGTTCATTTCACCTACTATATAGCTGCGTTTAACCCAACACCACACTTTCTACTGTTTCATTTTTCATCCAAACCGCCATTCATTCAACACCCCGCATCCTTAAATAACGCCATCCTACCATTCACCAAACCTCGTATAATATCAATCATCCTTTCCAAATAAACCGGTACCCACGACATATAGCCTTACTTTTTCCCCTCTTTCGCAAAACACCCCATAAAACACCTTGAAAAAAGCATTCGTTCCTTCCCCCCTCCCCGTGAAAACTCATTCGTCCCTTTCGATTATTCATTTCTCCTGAAAAACCTCCCTTTCTGCTCGAATCCCCTCCAACGAAAACACCTTTACACGCATTTAACAAAAAGGAAGAAGAATTCGCGTTTTATCTAACTCTACGTAAGATCCGATTTGATTTATGTAGTTCCCCTCGATCTATCCGAGACGCAATTACACACCGGCTAATAGCCCGTATTATAAACAATTTGAGGATCAAGAAAGGAACGGTTTGCAGGCAGTGTGATTTATCGGCTTACCGAACATCTACGAAGATTTACGAATCGTGGATAGGGTTGCGCGATACCGCTTCTAAATAAGATCCGCGAGATCGGCAATAAATCAATCGGGTGTCGAAGATAAATCGATTCCAGTACGCTCGCATGACGTGTTCATTCCCGAGGATCGCGGGGTGAGATATTTCGAGGGCCTGAGTTTCGAGGGCAATCG